TCTTCTTATTGGTTGATAAATTTTTCAGAAGGTGTTTTTTTTTCCTCAGGAGCAAATTAACATTGTTTCTCTGCTTGTAGGAATCAGCTTCTGAGCGTGGGGCCTGTGGCTCTGCTGAGCAGGCTGGCAAAATGACATGCAGGTGAGGAGCCTCACCAGGCAAGAAAATGTTAGTGTTAGTGGAGAGTTAATGAGGGACTAAACATCCTTTAAACATGTCAATGTCTTCATGTCTTATGCCAGACACAAAGAAGACTCGTCCTCTAGTGACGAAGACCACATGGCAAACAAACAGAGCTCCCCTGCCATCCAATCAGAGTCCGGGCTCACCCCAGGGGGTGTGTCTTATAAGAAAACACTCCGACTCACATCAGAGCAGCTGGTGAGGAGTTTGGTTTGAATACACACTGCAGACTTTGAAATGTTTGAATTTTTAATAGTTAACCCTTTTACCTTCATATATTATTTCTCTCTCTTTCTCTCTCTGACACACACACACACAAACAGCTGTCTCTCCAGCTGCAGGATGGTCCTAACGATGTTGTGTTCAGTGTCACCACTCAGTACCAGGGAACCTGTCGCTGTCAGGGCACCATCTATCTCTGGAACTGGGACGACAAGATCATTATCTCAGACATAGATGGAACCATCACCAGGTGTGTGATACATACAACTATTTGTAAGCTGTGCACCTCTGTGGCCTTAATTATTTTTTAATGGCTAAGAGGATTCAGTATGATGAAATAATCTTTTCACAGCAGTTTCATTTGCCACATTCATTCTCTGTTGATCATGAGACAATTTTTTATTTCCCTCTGAACATAAATATGCACCTTGCTGCATGCTATTATTTAACCTTTAACTGTCCCCAGAGAGAAAGTTAACGGGTGGTCATAACTTTCCCATTAATGTACCTTTCAAAACTCTTCCATATCTTATCAGCTTTTGTTTTTGTCCAGGACGTATATTTTTGTGTTTTTCAAGATAAAGAAAGGCCTGTACACACATGTCCCAATGTCACTTATTTGTTTTTGTCTCTAGGTCAGACACATTGGGTCATATCCTGCCCACGCTGGGGAAAGACTGGACCCACCAGGGCATTGCACAGCTCTACCACAAAGTCAGCCAGTAAGCACTCATTTATTAACACACTGTCAGCATAAAATGCTCATACTGCTTCACAACCCTCTACATATTTTACACCAGACGGGCCAAAGACAAGCTCTGAAAATAGAAGAAATAATTTCCAAACCTTATTATTACTCTCTATTGGGTAAAACAAAGTCTCTCTCTCTCTGTCAGAAATGGCTACAAGTTCCTGTACTGTTCGGCTCGAGCTATTGGCATGGCTGACATGACCAGAGGTTACCTCCACTGGGTCAACGAGAGAGGCACCATGCTTCCTATGGGCCCCGTCCTTCTCAGCCCGAGCAGCCTCTTTTCAGCTCTGCACAGGTCTCTCATACACACACATATTTTTTTTATGAATTAGCACTCTACAGTCACATAACAATGTGCAAGAAAATGCAGAAGACACTGTCACTTGAGCACTGTTTTACTGTGCTGATCATCGGTTGCTGTTACATCTCTGCAGTGTGTGTGCGTGTGTTTGATAGGGAAGTGATCGAGAAGAAACCAGAGAAGTTCAAGGTGGAGTGTCTCACTGATATAAAGAACCTCTTCTACCCCAACACAGAGCCGTTCTATGCAGCATTTGGCAACAGACCAACGGTAAGCACACTTTATATACAGTACAGTACTGTTGGTATTTGATTCTAAAAATTTATCAAACACACTAGGTAATTTAAAGGTTAATACTGGTGCTCAGTATAAATCTTTGTTCATCTGGAGTTTTTTTGGTTGTAAAAAAAGCCTTTTATGGAATGGAGTCTTGGTATTTCTAACACTGAATTTATTTCTCATTTATAATTGTAGGATGTGTATTCCTATAAGGAAGTAGGAGTGCCACTCAACAGGATTTTTACCGTGAACCCTAAAGGGGAGCTAGTGCAGGAGCATGCCAAGACCAATATCTCATCGTAAGTCCTGCATCCAGTTTCGATTATCTATTCTAGGAGGTGACATCGTAATGACATTCAGGAGAAGTTTTCTGTTTGCTCATTTAATATTTCTGATTGTGGTCGCCCCCCCTCCTCTATTCAGTTATGTACGTCTGGGTGAGGTGGTGGACCACGTGTTCCCCCTGAAGATGCGAGCCTACTCGTCAGACTTCCCCTGCTCGGACACCTTCAGCCACTTCACCTACTGGAGACAGCAGCTTCCCCGGGTGGAACATCAGGGAACTACGCCTCCACAGACTCCCAGCCCCGGCAGCTGACTACCCGTGGCCTGCTGAGCGGCTCCTCACAGGCAGAGCACTGACTGGTGGTATGCTTGAGATGTAGCAGTCATTTGGATGGTTACATGTGTGTGATATGAATTTGTAGATATTTGTAGAAGATGGAGCACTTTGAGTGCACAGCAGAGAGCAACTTAAATAGGATAATCTGCAGCTAATAAAGCACATGACAGATGGAAGCGCACTTTTATGAAAAGACGGCCTCTGTAGCCTTCTGACTAGATGTATGTATATGAGTAATTTATTCAGGCAGCTTAGCACATTATGTTATTTTTGAGTGAGTGTTAGTATCATTTTAGTAGCTAGACTTTCTAGGCTATTCATGCAGAGAGTTGCATGCTGTATTTAACAGACAGTATACCTGTGGCATCTGTTCAGAAGTGCGTCATACAGAACACAACCATACTGAGCAAGTTACGTCAACTTGTGCCAAATATTCAATGTAGAATTTATTTTCTTACCCTGAAACTTCCCAGTCAAGACTGTTATAGCTCCTGAGTCTACATGGAAATGCACATATATATACATGCAGGCTAATTTTACTTTAGAGCAGAAGTTACACTATAAAAATGCTTTAACGTTATTATTTGTTGTTGAGACAAAGTAATTCTGACAAGGGAGGAGAACGCACAACCTTTTTAATAGTCATAATAATTGGTTTTGTCTAAAAAATCAACAGTGTTTGTGAGATGAATTGCTGAAAATGTTTATTTTTCTATTGTAATCACACTCTGTGTATATGTTGTGGTCAGAATGTAAATTCTGTGGTGGCCAGTAGTTACAGTTTATACAGTGACACATTGATCATCTCGTCTATGTGACTGTTCTGCTTCCTATGATTTATGCCTATTTCCATTAATGCCTTTAAGTATGTTTTATTTATTCATCTGATTAGATACTGAGTGATATATGTGGCTTACACTTGTGTGTTAACATAACTGTCATTTCCCTTGTAATATCACTTATAGGAAAACTCAAATCTGAAAATCCCTTTCACACTGTCCACAGCTTAGAGAGGACAGCGGGCCACAGTATTAAAATTAATGGTTGACCTTTTTCAGAAGCATTTCTTAACAATATCACAGATAACATGAGGTCATATACAGTATATGAGCAGCAGCTGCTATCATGGTGACCTGCCTGAAGTGTGAGTGACAGTAGGTGTTAGTAAGCGTATAGTTTATGTACGATGTATGTATATAGTGCTTGGTTATTATTCTTTCCATGAAAGAGCTAAAATAGCCCCAAAGCGTGTTATCTTTGCTTTAACTGTGAACACTATGATCAATAATTGTTTCATTTACTCCCTCCACCCCTTCTTTTGACCAGTTCACTGTTAAATTTGTGTAATCCTCAAAACTCAATAAACATGCCTTGGTACATCTCTTTGTGCGAAAATGTCCATTGACACTCTCTGTTAACTTTCAGCACGGTGACAACTTTTCATTTATCACATTCACCTGAATGCAGGGGTGGAAGTAGTATTCAGATCCTTTACTTAAGTAAAAGTACTAATACCTCACTGTGAAAATACTCAACTGCAAGTAAAAGCCCTGCATTCATTAGGTAAGATTATTTAAGTATTATCAGCAAAATGTACTGATAGTATTGAAAGTATAAGTACTCATCATGCAATGGATTTTCAGTTTTTTACCATAATATATGATGTTTCTGTATTAATATTATTGCTACATTAATGTGTACGTGTGTTTACGTGTATTTTACTGCAGTTGATGTTTAATGAAGACCTCATTTATATACTTTTGAATAGTTTAATCTACAGCAGTGCATCATATTCTACAAGATCATCATATGTTTGCAGCATCGCTGTCCTGGGAGAACCACATAACTCTAAAAATATTTTTTTTTTCATAATCTTTCATGAGCTAAGAAAAAAAGCCTATTTTCTTTGCTACTCTATTTTCTTTGCTTTGTAACAATGCATTTCCAGCAAATGCAAGGGGGGTTCAGTAATTTGTAAGAGAATTTTTTTAACCCGTGAATGAACACTTTTGAGTCATACAAAATTCAAAATCACCAAATATGGAGATAGGTGGTTTTCACTGGACCAGAATGGTATGAAAAATTGTAATCTGAAAAGTAACTGGAAACTAAAGCTGTCAGACAAATGTAGTGGAATACAGTAAATAGTACTTAAGTACAATTACCTCAAATTTTTACTAAGTGCAGTACTTGAGCAAATAGATTTACACCACTGCCTGAATATCAGATGAGTTTTTATATATATGAATTTTTTTCATTAGTCCTTGGTAAAAAAAAAAAAGAGAGAGAGAGAGAGAGAGAGAGAGAGCGCACACCTATAATTAATTACTAGCACAGAAACACATACTAGGGTATGTGTTTCTGTGCGAGTCACGGTTCTGTTGACACACTTTATCCAGACCTGTGTCAGACATTTGCTTGTTCACATATCTGCATCAAACTGCTATTCTCCTCAACAATTCATTGTATGCATTTTTCTGCAAAGAGCAAAACTCAGCTGTTCCCAGTTTCACTTTGCCACACACACACACACACACACACACACACACACACACTGTCGTGCACAATGGCGTGGGGGTTATTAGAGAGCAAAGGGCTGCGCATCACAATATGCGGGAGGAGTTTCCAAAACGCAGCGACACCATTGGCTTGGGCCCCTGGGTGCTGTCCTCTACGCAGCGTGCATCGAGGCAAGCTTCAAAGTACGGAAAACAAAAGTCGACGAGGACACCGGCCTGCAAGGGCCGTGTTTGTTCCTGTAAAGAATGACGAACACGGTAAGATCTTTTCAAATTACTTTTGTCTACGTCCAGAACGCTTGGTGCATCCTTTCAGTCCGCTTTGTCGCGTGTCCTTGCACGTAGTGTGAGCTTGTCGACGCTTTAAAAGTTAACGGTGACTTTAAATGAAATGCAAGTGCTGACATGGGGAGTGAATTAGAAAATTGCATTTGGTGTGTTTGTTGTTGTCGGTCTGTAAACTGAGGCCACACTGAGCTGTCTGACAGAGCGGAGGCATAAGCGGCTGAAACTTTGGCCTGAACATATTCAGGAGGAATGTTGTCTAACCGACCTTAAAGGGTGATAGCGCAGACTGCACCTAATAATGAGTCCGTGTGTTGTATCAGGTCATAGCTGGAACATTTTTTAAGATGTTTTAAGACATACAAAAATAATGTATGTACGTTTACCACCCCCGCAAAAAATAAAATCTACCCCTACTCTCTCATTCCAAAAGTTTAACTGCTGCATACAAGATGTCTCCATCTTCACAGAAAAGTCCTTTCTGTGTGTGTGTGTGTGTGTGTGTGTGAGAGTGAGAGAGAGAGAGAGAGAGAGTGTGTTTGGACCTGAGGTTCAAAGTTTTCACATCACATTTACATGTAAAAGTTGCATACTGGACCGTGAATCGCTTCCAGTTGTGATGTCACCAAATCATGCTTGTTTGAAAGCCTGTTGAACTCAGATTTAAGGTGAGCACAGAGAAGCTCTGCATAATGAAGATCCAAATGATGTAACAAGAGCCAAAGCTCATTTCTGAGCAGAGGGGGAAATGAAATTAAAATGGCCACAGCCTTTGAGGATGCAGTTTGTGACACATTATACATGTTTTTGTGTTGGCCCTGCTTAATTTGTTTTCCCACTGTTTTGACAACCTGTAAAATTATCATTTGTAGTTACTCTGATTCTTCTTAAAGGTTTTGAACTGAACTGTTATTTTTGTTAACGCCATTTTTTAACTTTATGATTAAGTGCTACTTTTCTAACTATTTCAAACTTAAATGTAACGCCTTTTAACTCAAGCGTGACTTCCTCCTCCAGTACAGGGATTCGGGCAGAGCAGGCGTGGAAGACGAGGAGGAGTTTGTGGATGTATTGGAGGAGAGGAGGCACAGCAGTGATCTTGGCCATGCCTTCAGGACCTTCAACCCCCAACCCTACAAAGGAGCCCCGTCCTGCTCCACGGCTGACCTCAACAAAGCCGTGCTGGAGTCCCAGTATCTCTGCTACGTGACGAAGGAGGTGGGGTGATTTTGAAAAGATATAGCGAAAGAAGTTTCACACTGTTGCTTCCAGCATCACGGAGTCAGTCTTTGTCCTGTATTCCTCCTCAGATCGCCATGGAGACGAGGTCATCGGTGGAGGAGGTGAGAGAGAAGGCGTGTGGGATTTTGGAGGAAATGTCTCAAAACTTGCAGCTGGGGTTTATCAGGCTGATGGCCTACACGCTCACCAAGGTGCTCAAGAGACTCTTCACCAGCATCAATGTCAACATGGAAGGACTCAACGCGGTCAGGAACACACATAAGTGCTGTATTCAGAACAGCAGCACATCACAATATATCCACCACTTTCATAGAGCCATTGACCACTGTCCACTACAATGTACAGCTGCTAATAAGAGTGGTATCAATCTTTTCATCTAACTCTTTGCAAGAAAGCTAATGCTGAATTTACCAGTGTCTTTCCAACAATAAAACTGATCAGCTGATCTTAAGAAAATGTTTCATTCCAACAGAAAATGATCCCTTGACAATGTTTTTCATTTTCTTTGCAACGTGTTGACTTAGACTACCAATAACATACCAAGAGACTGCTACTGATGCACTCATCATCATTTTTCTGTCACCTCACAGCTCCAACAAGCCATACAGGAGACTCCTGTCATCCTGATGCCCAATCACAGGAGTTATGTGGACTTCTTGGTTATCTCCTACATCCTGTTTACCTATGACATCCCAGTACCTGTTATTGCTGCAGGCATTCGCAAGTATCTATTGATATTAAAAAAACAAGATATTATGTGTGTGTGTGTATATGTGTGTGTGTGTATATATATGTGTGTGTATGTGTATATATATATATATATATATATATATATATATATTTTATACTGGAACATTTTTATGATGTTTCTTTGCTTGCAGATGCTCACTTCTCTCTCTCTTCCTCCATTTAATTCTCTTTCTCTCCACTGTAAAGCTCTTGCAGGGATGAAGATGGTCGGAGAGATACTGCGCCGCTCTGGAGCTTTCTATATCCGACGTGCCATTGGGTCTGACAAACTGTACTGGGCAGTGCTGTCAGAATATGTCAAAACCATTGTCAAGGTAAGACAATAATCTGCCGCATCAGCCACACCAAACTCAAACTGTCAAAGCCCTTTTGGAAATGGCTTCGCCTTGCAAATATTCAATCAAATATCTTCTGTAGAAAGGATTTGCTCCTGTGGAGTTTTATGTGGAAGGCCTGCGGAGTCGTACGCTGAAGTCTCTGACGCCCAAGTTAGGTAAGTGTGGTTAGTTTGTGTCCCAGGGTAGGAAAGCGTCTCTTCGTCAGACAGCATTTGATTCTTTGGGGCATTGTGGTGTTCGCTGCTTGAAGCTCATGACAGACCTTACAGACGAGTATAATGGTCTTTCCTCCACTCCTTTTCCCGCACCATGTGTTCATTTAATTCAATTAAAAACTTTTTCTCACGCAGTTTAACTGTAATGACTGATAATTGTACTCGTTCATTGCTGTTTGAAATCTTGATAAAATCCAACCTGTGTCCGCAGGTATGATGCAAATGGTGCTGGAGCCCTACTTTAAAGGTGAGGTGTATGACATCACATTGGTTCCCATCAGTATCAGCTACGACCGAGTGCTGGAGGAATCGTTGCTTGCCCACGAGTTACTGGGCGTCCCCAAGCCCAAAGAAAGCACCACGGTACGTCCCGGTCACATTACTCACTTCACCAACAATCATAAACAGAATTGATCATAGTAATTTTTCAGTCAAAAACTCACCAAAACATGCATTTTTAACTGTATAATTTTTTGTCTAATCTCACAAACTCATTAGTTTAAGTCAGAAGGGTTCAGGCACCAATAAAGCTGATTACTTCTTACTCGTGACTCAGCCTTGTTCTTTATCTGCAGGGTCTGCTGAAGGCTAGCAAAGTGCTCCAGGAAGATTACGGCAGCATGAATGTGAACTTTGGCCGCCCCCTATCAGTCCGGCGTCTGTGTCAGGGCAAGATAAACCGCTGCCAGTACAACCTCATACCCAGGTGGAAACACTTTGAACACACTTTAAATCATTCTGTTTTGCATACGTGCCATACTCATCCAATAGCCACCTACCAAATTTAGTAAAAATATAAATAAAGTAAGCTTTAAGCCATCTGACTGCAACATAGCCATGTGTGGCCGCATCTCTCCATTCTTCCTGCTCACTCCCTCCTCTTCTCTCCCTTTATGTCTGCTGACAGAGATCTTCCTCAGAAGCCGAGTGCAGAGACTCAGGCCTGCGTGAATTGGCTGGCTAATCTGATGGTACGAATCCAAGAGGAGGGCTCTCTGATCAGCCCTTGGTCTCTGATGGCCTGCCTGTTGCTTCAGGCTCCTACTGCAGTATTAACAGAGGAGGGCCTTCTGTGGCATCAGCTCACAGAGAAAACCCTCTGGCTCAGGAAGCTGGCGCTGGACTTTGGGGCCCGCCTGAACTGGCCTGGTGGGTGAGACGGGGGTGGATTTTATATATTTGCTGAAAATATTGTGTCTGTTTCAATTCGATGTAGTGAGCACATGATTGGGAGAAGTGCTTTGATGAGGTTTATTTTCACGTCCCTCAAATGACCAGTAGGTGGCATTTGCATGTTACATTACAAGTGAACCAGACAAAGTTAATACAGAAAAGTAACTCAGTGTATTCAGAACCTCAGAAGTATTAAAACATTTATTAAAATTGTCACAGGTGAAGCAGCAACATCTCAGAAATTAGTGTGATGCAGCGACACATTTTCTGTTAATCAACTGATAAATCAATTGTCTTATCCGTGAACTGTAGTAATTTATAACAAAGCATCTTACAATCTTTATTGGTAATTTTAGTGGAGTAAAAAGCACTATTTCCCATTGAAATGTAATTAAAGTAAAGCACAAGTATCTCAAATTTGTATTTCTGTAAGTACAATACTTTAGTTAATGTGCTTAGTTACATTCCACCTCTGGGAACCCTGAGTGAGTTCCGTCCAGCTGAGGCTGTCAGCGTCTCACCTCGGGACACTGAAGGTCTGAGGTAGATCAGACAGATTAGGTGAATGTGAGTTGGCACAAGCGTTCAGATTCACTTAGGAGATGTTCAATGGATTAGTGCACTTTAAGTAACTTGGCCTAAGAGGACTCCACTGAACTGTCTCCCTTTACAGGTCTCGTGTGTGTGTGCAGACACACACATGCAGGCACATAAACACACACACACACATAGAAATGGATGAAACTATTCCTAGACTGATGCAACCCTCTTAAACTGCACCTTGGACAACGCGGTGACTGTTTCCTGCAGGAAAAGTCCCTGACTCAGATGTGATGTCATCCGCTGTGGCCCTTCATCACTCTATAGTTCGCCGTAAAGCGGGCCGCGTGTATCTGCTTCAGGAGGAAAAGCCCGCGAGGGAACATCCAGTCAGCCAGGAGGAGGGTGTGATCAGGACAGCGGTGGCGGTGCTGATGTTGGCTTCCTATAGGAATCAGTCTCTGCACGTTTTTTTGCGTCCTGCCATGCTTGCGACGGCCATACACGTCACAAAGGCCACACGGAGAGGTGAGGGTCAGACGCGATATATTTCTTAACTAACTCACTGAGATTTTCTAAGCTCTCACAGGAAGAACATGTTGTCCTCTTGCTTCATTGTGATTCCCTGTTCTGTCCACAGACGAGCTCTTCACCTTCTTCAGCTTCCTACAGGACGTCTTCTCCAACGAATTTATCTTCATCCCTGAAAAGTCGTCTCAGGTAGCAACCTCATCCTTCAGGGCTTGGCCTGCTTCAGGCAAATCCTACTTTGATTATTGACCTGTCAAACCATGAAAGCAATCTTGGTAATAGAATAAGTGCACGTATGATAACCGCTCTGCTTCTGACAAATTGGGCTTGTTGAGGCTTAATGTTTGAAGTCAGAATAGACTCCCAGGTTAGGTCCCAGGTGCATTTGCAAGCAGTAAATTTGTAGCCTTAAAAAAATGGTAAACAGGAATTGAGTTGCACAAGGTTGTTACGGCCTCCTGAAATACTCAAAGTCTCAACTGGAGACCACAACATGACAGGACTCCAAAAATTGTATACAGGAGAGAATCCACAAAGAAAGATAACCATACTCATGAATGAACAAAAGATAGGAAAACCGCTGGGCCAGCCTTGCTATGGGCTGTTTTTCCCTTAACTCTATACCTAAACGAAAACCTGATAACTGGACAACTGGTGATTTCCAACCCAAACTGCCTAAGTCACGCTGGAGGAAAAATGTTTATCACAATATTCTATATATATATATATTAGTGTGTGTGTAATGAATCTAGAATATATGAAACTTTTGACTATGGGGGGGGATTAACTTTTTTTTTTCACGATATTCAAATTTTTTTAGATGTACCTGTAGAAATAAACTATTAATTTCATATTATGTATTAACGTTGCACATGCGGGGCCCTCATCTTAACAGAGATCTTAATCTACAAACAGAAATTCAACAAAATATTGTTGGATTGTTGTGCTGTTTATCTGCCTGCTGAAATCTGTCTTTCCATTGATCAGGACTTTGAGGAGGCATGCTCTCTTCTGAAGAAATGTGGAGCTGTCCACATCAGTCCCCAGGAAGTGACGGTGTCAGATGCAGGGCTGGAGGTGCTATCCTTCCTGCGGGCACTTCTACAACCCTTCATAGACTCTTATCAGGTCCTTTTTGAATTTAGCTTTCTCTGATTTGGAAAACGCATATCTGTATGCTATTGTTGCTGGAGTTTTGACCTCTTTAGATTTTTTTTTACCTTCTCCACATACCTTGAAAGTAGGTGAAATTGTGCCAGATACCGCTACTCTCCATCTCTGTCCATTGAGGAGTCTGAGGTCATGGCCTCTATGATTCCAGTATTTTTACACCAAGTATATTAAAATCTGAGTACTTAAGTTAAACAAAAATGAATGAGTTAACAAAAAATAAATGATTCAGTATTTCTTCAACAGAATGTTTTTCCTGGCAGCATGGAGCACTGAAACAGAATTGATTTTTATTACAGACTCTAATTTCCCAGTAATAATACAGCCCTGGCTGCAGAAACACTTGATGATTTTGTTTTGGTTAGATGCTAGATTTTTTCCTCCAAATGCTCTTTAAACCTGGTATTTGTAATGTTTATGTTTCATTAAATTAACATATTGTAAATAGACCCGTCTGCATAGTGGAGTTATGAATGTGATTGGAGACGCTCCCTCCGCTACTGAAAAATTCTGTTTTGGTTGTTAGGTCACATCTGACTGACAGTACCATAACATGCCATGGATTCTTCTAGATTCTCAATTACTGAAATTCAGTAACTGGAATTACTCTTTGCATCTGTCACGTCTTGCAGTCTCTGATTATACAAAGATTACACAACGTCCACAACTTTGTCAATCTTGGCTATAGTTCAAACACTCATCGTCATCACTGGAGAGAGTGAGACTGCATTAATGTTATTATTACCTTAGTTACTGTCGTGGAAATTATATTCCTGGTGAGAAATTGAGCAAATAATTGTCTGGCCCAGAGCAAAGGGCTGCATGATCATTTACACAGTCTGAGCATCTATGTTTTGGAAAAAAAAAAGATCCTTGACTGGTCCCAGTCAAGGAAGGAGAAGAACATCTAGTGAGGAAAACAATCAACAACCCCACATCCCTGACCTACACCCCACACATGTGGACAGACTGGAATAACAAGAACAATAATAAAAAAGGGAACGGGTTAAAGATTTAAAACAATATATAAGACATAATAAAGGAGAAAAATAGCAGTCTTATAAGTACTTGCATAAAGGATTATAAGTAAAGAATAAAACAATTTTCTGCCCTTACAGTTACTATTTTAGGCTCTAACTACAATTACAATATCGGATTTTAAATGGTAAAAAATTGCGGTCTGTTTGTGTGTTTTTTATGTCCAGGTGATGTTCAAGCACCTTTGTGAGGAGAGAGTTCATGTCTTCTCTGAGAAACAGTTCCAAACTGCTGTGCGAAACCTGGCCACAAAGCTCATCCTGTCAGGTAAAACAGAAAGCGGCAGAAATTACCTCTGACTTCTAGAAACGCCTCCAGCTGTTAAACTCTTACCCCCAGCTAATCATTCCTGGTCATTATTTCTACATGTCTCAGATGAGCTTCGCTCCTATGAAGCCCTTTCCTCTGACACGCAAAAAAACCTTCTGTCGGCTCTGCGGAGGCTGGAGACTGTGACAAAACTGCAGGCGTGAGTAACGAGATTAGCCCCCGCAAATCTGTTTGGTTTTAAGCTTATTTTCTGTGGTGTTTGATAAGCCGGATGTTTTTCTAATTCTCTATCTGTTTCCTCATGACAGATCTGAGCAGAATGAATACAGAGTGAACAAAGATGCTGTGAGAAGAATTGGAGACATACTTTGTAAGTTGTGATAAAGTGGTTTTGTGTGTAATTTACCATGCAGCCTTTTAAAGAACTCATACGTTGACTTGGAGATTTTGTTTGTTGCCCTTGCTTGTTTACCACACCAACCAACAGCAGCCTGAGGGATTTTTCCTTTTCCCCTCTCTCTGTAGGCGGGACAATCCCTCCCCAGATGCTCCAGACTGCACCTGACGCAAGACTTTAGTCTCCATTGGAACAGATCCATCTTCAGTATCAGCTCACAGTCTTGTTCACACCTACGTTACCCTTTCGTCTTTTCCCACTTCTCATCCCTCTTTCTCATCTTCTTCCCTTTTGTGCCTTTCTATGCAGCAATACTGCTGCACCCTAACTCTGCAATCAGACAAAATACTTTCTATCCTGGATGCCAGTGGCCAGACTTAACCTGGCAGCGTTCTGCTCTTGAACACTTGCTACCTCCCCCTCTCTGTGTCCTCGCTCTCATCCCTTACAGATCTGACAGGGATAAGATAAAGCTACAAAGACCTTATATGGTGACCCCAAAGGTGACAGTATTGCTGCTTTTGCTTGGTGGCTTTTATCAGAATAAGGTGATGAAGAAAGATTTACGTATGACTGATGCACTGGTGATGCCTGTGGATTAAGATACCAAACTATAACTGTCAGTAACATTGTCTTATAGCTGTATAGTTGATTGACAAGGCTGACTTGTGTAATTTAGTGAATGAATAGAGCACTTTAAAGTAAAATTGATTGTGGGTATAGTATGTGCAATTAGATAGTAAAGTCTAAATTATGACACTCGATTGTATGTACATTAATATACCAATAAATATCATAACAATGTCAAACACCATAACCCATCAAAAATGAGAGATTTCATTTGTTTGAGACATTTATTTTAACTTCTTTACATCTCAATAAATGTAATACAAATGTAACAAAATGCACCATAGATACTTTTTTTCACACTTTAATTTCTTCTCTGATTCTGTTGGTACTATTCCCTCAGCAACAGGGAGTGAAAACCAGAGTTCAACCTCCTGTAATCTCTGTAAACCCATATGTTGTTTAACATGGACAGACATTATCTATACACAGGTGGTACGTCAACTTTAATGCGTAAAGCGCTGACAGGGTCTTGACAAAACACCGAGATGTATTCCAACACTTTAGAATTTAGCTTTTTCTCGCCCTCTTTGGCTCTATGCCGCTCTTTGTCCCATCTATCCTTCTCGCCGTTCATTTGGGAAAAGAGGTTGACCTGGATGGTGCGTAGCGTGGCAGCCAAGACGTAGAAACCTCCCTGCAGCATGTGGCTGAAGGCGGCGCCCACGCTGAGCGCTGCGCCCAGCAGGTTGGGCACCGTCTCGCATACCACACACATGCCCTCCAGGAAGTGCAGCGTGCCTTTCTTGGCCAGGGGCTGGCCTTGCTGGAGGTAGCCGGGAGCAGAGGGGGTTTGCTGGGCATGGTTGACCATGTATCTTGCACAGTCGGCGAAGTGGGTGGCGGCTCGTCGCAGCGGGAGCAGGGCCAGGTACAGGTGGCAAGCAGCTTTGGTCAGAGCATGGAAGAGCAGGCGCAGCTCAAGCACGGCATTGCCTGGAGACAAGAGGGTAACGGGGTCAGCTGGAGTCTAATTTAACACTGTGGCTAATGTCAGCAACCATTACAAACAAGCGTCTGCTACTGGATTAGTCTGTTCACCAGCCATGTGGGCAGCGGGTATCACCTGAGCACGCAATGTGGTTGGCTTGGCGGGTCATTACGCCTGCCCCTCAGCACGGGACCCATCCTCTGACAAATAGCCTATTACAAATCCTTTAGGCTGCTAGAGGCTTAAAATGTCATTTCTCTCTATTGCAGTTTCACATTTGTCAAGATTGTGTTTTGAAACAATTAAGCAGACAGACCATTAGAGTACTTGGTCTAAAAATCGCCATATTTTAAAATGTTTGAATTGTCTCATCACAGTAACTTGTTGAACTTCTTAAAAAAACAATATGTAAAATGAAATGTCATGATTTCCTGATCTAAGATGTCTCAGTGTGGCATGCATCATTTTATCCAACTAACAATCAAATCATAGCCAAACTACACTAAGTAAAGATAATTTATGTTTGTATCCAGCAAAATACACAGTATACAGCCTACTTTACATTGTATGCAGAGATTTTGCTGTGAATGTATGAAAGCTTTTCCGACATATGTGGTAGACCGGTGCCACGAAGTTCCTGAAAAGCTTCTAAATCTCCACTAACCATTTCCCCTTACCGTCTATAAAGCAGAAAATCCAGAGCAGGGCAATACACGCTGCCAACGAAGTCCACCAATCCATGTAGTCTCCCCCCTGTCCTGGACCCGGCAACGAAAAGAAAGAAAGCAGTGAACATGCAAAGTTATGATCTGGCCAAGCCCTGCCCTTCCTTTACGCAGCTAATACCTGAACATTAAGTAGTCGCATTCCCCGCAGGTGTCGGAGTGTTGCAGCCTCTGCGGAACACCTTGAAAGTGCACCTGAGGTGTCAACAGGCGCATTAAGACCAACAGACTACAACTCTTTACTACTCACTGCACCTTACAGTGTCTCACAGCCAAGACGAGCTTTTTAGAAACAGACACTCCTTTGCTTCAGTAGAGAACCAAATAGTTGCAATCCAAAACATAACAGATTGTTTAAAACATTTAGGCCTACAGACAGACTTTTTCTTAAAACGTGCAGTAGCCTATTTTTCTTTCTGCATAGTCCTAGGCCTATAGGCGGTTGCAAAGTTTAAATATTTTATCTACCTCACAGTCTCTCTGAATAGATAATTGATTTGATGTCAATCAGGGCCCGATTACTCAATTCAATTCACTTCAAATTAGCTTTATTGGCATGAATGTGTAACAACAATATTGCCAAAGCATCATACAAACTACTTAAGAACAATCAACCCCATACATTTCATTAAACAAGTAATTAAAGCCTAAAGTAATTAGTGTGTGTGTGTAAAAAATTTTAATATATTAAAAATTAAAATACAATAAATAAATAAAACAGTAAACTGTGTGTGTGTGTTAAAAAATAAAAATATATTAAAATAAATAAATAAAACAGTAAACGTGTGTGTATATTAATAGACAAAAGATAAAAATTTATTAATTGATTAAAAATATAATAATTAAAAAAAGAAAGAAATCGGTATCAAATGTAAAAACAAAACAAATACTAAAATGCAATCAAAATAATAATATATATAATAATATTTTGCAGCAATTATTTGACATTTGGGCATTTCTCCCAGTATATAGGGGAGTTTCTGTGTGTCTGATATAAATTTGAATTCGGGTTATATTTGGGAAATGTTTGCGAAGTGCTTTTGTCTTAGTGTTTTATATTAAGGGCATGAAATGGCTTACTCTTTCACTCCTAAATTTTGAGTAAGTATTCTGACCTTCATGGTTAATGCATGAAATGACCAAGAGCCAGCTGCCAGGCAGGGTTGGCCACTTTATTCTGTACATTTTCTCACTTTTTCAAAGCAGTATGAAAGTCTAACCTGAAGAGGATTTCTGTGACTACGTCAGGTTTTCAAAATAAGGTGTTAACACAAAGTAAATCCTAAATTGCCTACATATGTAGGCATATATGGAAATAGGATTAATTGGATTATATTCACAGTAAGCATGTTAGGCCTACCTATGTTCCTCAAAAGTAAAAAAGCCACTAAAATGTTAGGGAAAGTATTTTATTCTTTGATTTTGGGTTGCTGGAAAAACTATTTCTGGCAATGACTGATTTGAGTTCAGGACAAAAAGGACTACATAGCCTACATACTAAAAATCAAAAGGGTTTATACTATCAATGTAGAGAATAGAGAAGTTTGATCCTTCATATGCTGTAAAAAAAATAATTTGCATAGTGGCAATGACTGATTGATTAGAGATAACTGAGACTACTTACAAACTAATAATAAAGCAGTTTTATTGTATCAATTTAGAGAAATTACAAAGTAAAAATCCCACATTTGTACCATGAAATGGCTTGAATGTGAAACTTGCTGTAAAAACAGATTTATGCACAATTTTACGTAGTATGAGATACATGTTACAGATATACTTTCACATTATTTATTCCCGGCAATAAACTGAATTAATATGAAGCTATGAAGCCCCCCCCCCCCCCTATTTGTTATTGAAGAGGCTTTGGTCTGAGGGGGTGAGTTTCAGCAGCAATTAACTGAATGAACTTGTCACTTTGATCAGGAATGTGACACTACTCTATAGAGCATATAGGCTATGCTATAATAATTAAAGGATATAGTTTCGAGAACAAAAGTAGACAAGCATCAAATCCACCTGTTGCTTCAGCACCACGGACAGCGCCATTCATTGCTTTAATTATTGCTAGGGACATTTCAGTAATCGCTGGATATTGGTCGGGGCATGTATCTACGAATCTACAGTCCCTACTAAATGCTACACCCTTGTGGTAGCATCTCTTCAGACTTTAATACGGTAACCCTTGTCACTGGAAAGTGGAAAAATGGCAGAATAAAGTCGCAAACCCTGTCTGCTCGGCCTGGCCGTTTGAATGCATTTACCATAAAAGTCAGAATACGTGTGCACTCAAAATGTGGGAACTGCTGGCGAGCGGTTCTCACAAACGACGGCTCACTTGGATGCAGTAGTAAATATATCCTATCATGGGTTTATAGCCTACCTGGGGTGGATAAACTCAGTCTGTGACCAAGTTTGTCCAGTCCATATGAGTTCCAGACAAAAAAATTACAACCCCCCCCCCCCCATAAAATTAAAGACATTAATTTGGGAGTTAGGGTTACACAGGGGAAATGTGTTCATTGAATGTCAGGACATCTTTCTCTGCACTTTTAAAGAAATTTAGGGAGTTTTGTGTAATATAGGCTAATAACCTAGATACCAGAGGTAAACAGTAACTAAGTAAATTTACTCAAGTACTGTACTTAAGTACAAATTTGAGGTACCTGTACTTTACTTGTAGCCTACATTTAGTTTTAGTAGTTACTTTACAAATTAAGCTTTTTACACACAAAACACATGAAGAGCTTATAAAATGTGATGTTTTTTTCTTATTTTATTTATTTTATTATTTGAATGTAGTGTTAATAATGTTGAGGTTTGGACTGTTGATGGGACAAAAGCATTGTGAAGTTGTCAATTTGAGCTCTGGGTAACTGTGACGGCAGAATCTTTACAAACCAATCAATCAATCGATTAATGGAGAAAATAATCAGTAGATTAATTCATAATAAAAATAATTATTAGTTGCAGTCCATGCAATTTTTTCTGCGTTGAGTAGCCTACTTTTATTTTTAATAGGTCTACTTTAAGTAGTAGACGACATTTTCCAGTTTATTTTCAATGCAGTACTTTTACTTGTAAAAGAGTAGGCCCTGTTTTTTACAGTGTGATATTAGGTATTTTACTTAAGTAGCCTAAAGGATGTGAATACCTCGTCCACCACTGCTAGATACAGACTCATGTCTTTCTTGTCCACGTCTCGCGGTGAACGCCCCGTGCGTCAAGCGAGCAAAGACGTTCTCGGGACGCACGGGGTGCCATGGTAACGGAAAGCCTTCAGACAGGTAGGACACCTGGAGGAGGCCTGTCCCCCCTTTCATGTGTTGAAAACTGAAGCTAGTCTGAGAGGGAGAACAGCCGCCACACTTTTAACAACATGTGTTTTATGTGACGAACTTCTGACCCCAAACCAAGGACGTTTTGGTGAACGTTCATGTTGGCTGTTTTTCTCACGAACTTTGGACCCAAACGTCCTTAAGTCAACAAAGGTAAGGAACCGCAACATCTTTATGGAGACAGGGCTAGTAAAGTCTACAGTAGAAGACACCATTAGATTTAACTTAAGTGCATGCTGCTCTTATCAGAGCAATCATTGAGTGATACAATGTATTTAGCTTGTAACTTTAACTTAGACTAACGGTAGCCTACTAACTGATTGTGATTCAGGTTTATTGGGGCCAATTAGGCCACTGGCCATAATCAAGTTATCACTGATGGCTCAATACTGTTCTTTTGTCATGATTTAGGGATGGTCCCCAAGAAGAAAGACACAGCCAGTGGTGTGATCACCTTCCACACACATTTTCCTGTCAACCTGTTGAAATCAGAGGTAAAAAACAACAACATACTTCTGCAACTGGAAAAAAAACTGGAAAAATAATACACCATGGACTGTATATTACAGTAAAAACTGCTTTTCAAAGGCTTTTTAAGCACACATAACATACATTAAGTACTTCAGTATATCACCCTGCTTCACATTCACTACAATAATAAGTTAGCTTTACAATAGGGTTTTTGAGTGCACTGCTCAACAGCATTTCAGTAGTTATTAAGGAACAAGAGGGTTACCTTCACTTTACTGCCTTTGCCAAAGGTTAAATGTGGGTATAGCTCTGAAAATCAAGTTCAATTCTAGGATCAGGACATATTTCTCTCCTACGTGCACTCTCAGTTACTCAGTGCCTTTCCCTCTCCACAGCCAGAGTGAAACTGTGAACTTGCCAACTCATAATTAATCACTGGTCTTTTAATGTCAGGGAGGCTGCAAAGGAACAGTATGTGCACCATGACCAGCCCGGGCAGGGAGTACAATGCTTGCCTGAATGCCTGGCTGCCCCTCTTTCTCCTCTGTTTGTACAGTGTCATATCACAATGCTGGAATATCAGCATCCTAAGAGGACAGATGAATAGATAGGTTGCAGGTTATTGACAGACAGATACTGTAGCAACCATAATCCTAAACAAAAACGCCTGGTGCGGGATCAGATGACATTCAAATGAAGAAACCAAGCCAAGCATCCAAAAATATGAACTGCACATGAAGATAATGGCATTATTTTGGTCAGTCCCAACAAATAGCACAACATGGAAGGACTCTGACATCTTTGTACTGATGCTAAAGTTGCTCAGTCATGTCAAAACATTACAGAACAGCTGACATACATGTACCACCCTATGTGTTTGCATAACAGTGAGACATAGTTCAGGTTTCCAGGCAGTGACATGATCTGCTGTTATTAGTTGCTGTTATCTGCAGTGTGTTAGTTACATAAGATAGTAGTGAGTGACCACAGAATCGACCCTACTGGTGTTTCAGGAGTGCATGGTAGATGTGAAGGACACTACACAGAGCAAAAAGAGCCCGTCTCAGCCGAGTGCGAGGACAGGAAGCACCGGTAAATGTGTAGGAGCAGGGAAAAGGGATGAGTCCTCAGTCTCTGGGCAACAGCCGGGCACCAGACAGGAGCGGCTCTCTCACACCTCTCGCAGACGACTGCAGGTATTACACTCAGCCAAACTCTCACCTGCACAAAAAGATGAGGTGAATTCACTTAACTGCACATATTACTATTTAGGCAAAGATGGAGGTTGAAAATCAGCAGGTGAAAGAAATAATCCAACCTTTACTGGATACAGAAAATGGTTTTGTAAAGGTAAGATGCCGAATGTGACAGCCCAATCTTTGTTGTTGTTTTTTCTGTGTAACATTTTTGATTCTTTGAAATGCTTTGATTCTCAAGTAAACACATTGGTCTTTGTGTCTGTAACTCCCATGTTGATTGAAATGTGCCTCTTCATGGAGGAGTTGGAGAGGTTTCTGAGCCAACGGGACGTAACAGAGCTGAGGAGGAGGGAACTGCTGCACAAGCGCTGGTCTGAGCGTGTATGGTTTCCCCTCCAGAGGAGAGTGGAGGAACATGTGTCCAGCGGTAGTGGTGTGAAAGCCAAGAACTTATACAATCACTACCTCCATCACTGCAACACCAAGGTGATACTAAGCTCACCATTCAGTCTTATACTTGCTTACGAATGCAGAAAATGTCAGTGTTGGAAACAGCGTTTGTCTTGTTTACCATGATGCTTTTTATTCTGTATCAGACTTCACACAGATATGTTTCTGTTGTGCTTATCACTACATAAGCAGACAAAAACAGACGTGTAATTATCGAACTTACTCGAACTGCTGTAATATCTTGAATCTCCAGGGTTTTGTGTTTCTAGAAACATACGATCTAAGTGAATACAACCCATTTCTTCTCAAAAAGACACACTACTTCAAGGTGATTTTTTGTGACTTAAATTTTTCACTTAATATATTAAAAAAACAGCGTTGGACATGTTGAAGTATCCCACTTGTCTGTTAGTGACAATATATTCACTGCTCTATCCCTAGCTCAATACGGCGGACTTAAAGGACCCATTAAACCTTTATGAAAGATTGAAGGAAAAGAGAACGGCACATTCTTGTGAAGCAGGTTTGTGGGTGTTTTCCTTCTTTGACCAGAAGGAAATGTAAGACCTACATGAATGCTTTGCTTTGAGTGAAGATATCCACAGTGGCATTTTCTCTTACATTTGGGGGAATTAAAATGAGACCATTTCACTTTTGAAAGAAAAAATACCACATTCTTTCAGTTAGCAATATATCGTACCCTTGTGTCCGTTCAGTACACTCAGGGGTTTTGCTGCTACAGCCTTACTTGGTCTGGTATGACCAATAGCTTATGGTGACTAATGTTAGCTTATATTGGCAAGCTTAAAGTAAGTATTGCTGTATAACACACATTACTGAGTCAGTGTACTGACTTTATGACTCTTCTCTACTTTAGCTTCTCTCAACCCAAATCAGAGTAAATCCTAATTAGATGTCAAGTTTGATACATATTTGTGATGGGTTTTGATCACTCTTCATATTCTAAACCAATTTTCCTTCTATCTTAGGACGTAAATACAAGCTAACTCAGAATGACCGTCCTCTTAGTGAGTCTGTGACGTCTCAAGCTGACATACTCCTACAGGCCTCATTTAATTGTCCAGTCTCTGTGTCCGTAAAAACTCCAGCACAGGATGAGACCGAAAGGAGGAAGTCCAGCAGGTGCAAACCCAATTTTCTATAACTCTGTAGGATCAGCGGTGACAGCTGCAACACATCACTATGTAATGGTTTATAAATGAGTTTAATGTGAGTAACGTGCAAATGTGTCTCATCCAGGCTCAGCGCCATACCATACCACATCAGTGCAGCTGCCACACCAGATGGAAGGTGCCATCAGAGCGGCTGCTGGCTCTCCAGATGTGGATGTCAGCAACAACCAGCAAGTTACCATCAGTCCTTGCCTTAATCCAAATAAAATCGATCTTTACCAAAAGAAAATGTCACCTCTATTCCTTTCTAATTACCTCAGTTTTCCAGGTAATATACATATATAAAAGCGACTTTAGGGATACCAGGATTGTGTTGAGAAAGCAGTGAAACATTTACCCACAACAAAGAAAACTGTTTACCGTATTTCCATTTAATTCATGCCATTTGCAGGATTTAAAGGCATACCCCATAGTTACATCATAGGGTGACATTACATTGTACAGTAGCGTGCAGCATTTGAAATGAACAGCATTAGCACGGATATGTGTTGCCGTGTGCAACTGTATAACAGGGTGTTTGAAGTATGTCTTCATTTAACATGTTGGTATTCCTCCATTAAGAGTAAAACAGTATTTGTAGGAATTTGTAAACATGAATGACAAAACTCAACCACATCAGCAAATCTAACTTGTTACACATTTTAAGTCATGTTTTTATAATTGCATTTCCAAGTAGTGCACATGAAAATATAATCACATTTTAGCTAGGCTGATGGTGACAAGAACACCCTTTTTCCACATTCTAGATTTTTGGCAAGGTATCCTTCCTGTTCTGTTGAAGGTCACCTAAATGGGTCTGGGTGGCTCAGAGCGGGACGAAAGGCAGTGACGATAAAATAGGCACTTTTAGGTGTGTGTGGCTGTTTATGCTTATATAAAATTTCTTCTCTTAATTACAATAAAATTAAGTGGTGTGTGCCTTAGGGCGTGTCTTATCCTCATTTGGGTGGCTCATAAAGCTGTAGATCAAGTTTGACCCAAACTTCTCCAGTAGGGACCTCATGCAGTAGTAGGCGACGGTTTGCAGCACCTTTGCTCTCCATCTCTTTCTTTATAGTTGCCACAGGAACTTCAGTGCGACCCAGGAAATCTGAAGAGGCGGAAAAGAGTAACTTACTGCAAAAAAGAATAACACACTTCTTCAAGGCATTTAAAATCTTAGTAGAGCCTGATAGATACTGGATTTTAGAGGATAATTATGTAGGTATTTTTGTGTCAAAAAGAAGTATCTGCAAACAAAATGAACCAGTCAGTGGTTAGTACCTCTAACATACAGTTTCTTTGGCATTTCTGTACTGACATTTCTCATTACATGCCGTCCGACATGTAGTGTGCATGTAGTTATATATATACACGTGGTAAGCTAATAACGGCCAATACATCTTTGTCTTCTGCACTACAGCCCCTCACATGGCCCCAACACAATCACAGTAATGACAAAAACACAGAAAAAAAGAGACAGCAGTAAACACAAGTCAGCAAGGAAAGGGGAATGTCTATTGCTTTAAAAAAATAAAAAATAATATCAGACCCTGGCATGCAACCCTTGATTCCCTTCCTTTTGTACAAGCAGGACAAATTGGACCAAAAGCCTAATAATCCGGTCTGTGTGAGCATCTCTTTGTTGTTTGTGTGTCTCTCTCATCCACTCACCATCTGGTGAGAACTGGTCTTTCTCAAACACAGTGATACAGAGGACATCCTGGTAGAGGTCTTTGATAAAGAACTGGCAGTTGAAGTTCCACTTTGGGTTCAGGGTGTCACTGATTGGTCGGGAGGTGTAGCACTGAGGCCCCATCGTCAGCTCACAGTAGGGATTACTCTTACCTGGAGGGAAATTATATATTATTAGTATTACTGGAAGATATTTAACAGTGAAGACATGGATCGACACAGGGCAACAGAGAGTGTGACAGGCTCTGTATTCCTTCACAAGGCCTTACCGTTGGGTTTACAGGCTTTGAGCTCCTGGGCTTCAGTGACAGTTACCAGCAGTCGGCCGATGCCGCTGGTCTTTAGGGAACGTGCTAAAATAAACACACAGCCATTAGATGAAGGCCTAAAACACTCCATTACAGATTTTTGCAAGCTGAAACAGCTGTTCTTGTGAATAATGTGCAGACAATTTGAGTAAGGGCCTGAATGAAAAATGTTAGGAGAGGAGGATTATGGGTTGTTTGTTTTTGTTGCTGAAGGGAGGATAGGGAGAACTAGTTTTTAAAGCAGGATCTATTGTAGTTGAAGTTGTGTGTGCACAGCATGTTCATGTGTCTCACTAAACCACCCATACCTTGGTAGGCCTTCTCTCTCTTTTTCTTCTCTGTCTCTATGAAATGTTCGGATGCTGCTTTGATTTTCTGGACCCACGTTGTCCTACCGACACAATGAATACATCAGTCCTTTTGCACGGTATGATAGGGTTATTGGCGAAGCGTGTGACGGTGCACATGTGCATGCCTACCTCTCATTCAAGGTCTCGGTTTTGAGTGTGTAGACGCGATCGATGTGCGAGACGTGGAAGAGCGGCTCGTCGCTGGACGGGTCGGGTGGCATTTTCACCAAAACCTCATTTAGAAACAGTGGCTGCAGAATGTGATAGAGAGAGAATGAAAACAATAAACAAATACTGTCTATGGACACCTACACCTTTACCTATGTACCGTTTCATACATAATCCAAGCAATGGAAGTACTTCAACACCCCAATGGTATTTACAGTCCAGTCCAAGAAAAGTGCGTAGCGTCTAGCTTACCGTTTTGTACATCTTCAGCTGTATGTTGCTCTTGAGGCTAAATAGCTTGTCTGGTCCAGAGGAGGAGAAGGGTTTGGCGCTGTGTGTGAGGAGGAGGAAATCGCTGAAGAGGAAAGCCCACAGCTCCCTGCTGCTTTTGGTTTTCTGAAGCCGCCCGCTGTGGAGCAGCTTGCGAGGCCCGAGGCAGTTAGTCAGCGAGTTGAAGACCAAGTGCTGAAGGAGAGACAGGAGGAAAGTAAGGCGTGACCGAGGGGAGATGCTCCCCGGCTTTGCTATTGAATGTGTGTGTTTTGGCAACAACTAACATAAATTCTGATGGTGAAACTGCAAAAATGTGTGCATCACTGTTTTCGGGATTTACAGACTACACATACCATGATTAAAAGTTTGAATATACATTGATATGAGTCACGTCTGCATGTGTTTACCTCTATAGGTCCCTCACACTGGATGTGGCTTTGTATCCACTCCAGTCTGTCTGAGTTCTCCTTCTCCCTGACTCCCTCATTGACCTGAGAGCACAGCTCCTCTGCTCGCTCCAGAGCTTCTCTCAGTGGGTTGCGGTCCGCATGACCATCTGGGGTGTACTCCAGGATCTGACCGACAGGGCGAGGAAAAGGAAAGAGATTAAAGAGAGACCAGGAATCATACAAAGAAAATCAGAAGTGCTGGGTGGGTAATACTGTAATCAGACATAGAGAGCATTCTCCACATACATTCTTTATGAGCAGGGGGTAGCGTGTGATCCTCTGCATGGGCTTGAGGAGGAAGCTAGACAGTGGCATTCCTTTACAGCGGTAGTTAGTGGCTATCTTCTGCTCCAGAGAAGGCAGACAGTGAGAGAGAGAAAGATTATTTTGCATCTCACAAAACCATGTGTCTATTTTGTCCCTTTGTTTCCACCTATCTATCTAACCTCCCTCACAACTCGTACCTTGAGGAAGTCTTTAAAGTCAGGCTGGTTGTGGGTTTTGCTCTGTAGCAGGGCGGCGGCGTTTAGTTGGCAGGAGCAGAAGCGGATGTAGGGCTGCATGTGTGCGAGCTCCGAATCCAACAGATCCCCTATCAGCTGGACCGGCATGTTCTCTCCTCCGGTCTTTTTACGGACTCGCAGTGCCCTGGGAACAGAGAAATTGACAATGTAAAACAGGAGTTTCAAGTATGTGCTAAGCCAGATATAAAACTGAAATGAATTACTCAAACAACAGTTTTACATGGTCACTGACTCTGTGGGCCAAATCTCGATGTTGTCAATGCGGTTGTCAATCAATCAATCAATCAGTGTATTATTTGTCCCAAATGGGCAATTTATGCTGCAGCAGGCATATTAACACACAACAAATATCAAAGAAAATATGACATGAACATCCAGTATAATACAGAAACACTTCTTCCCTTAAATAATTATTTCCATAATTTTGGCACATAGTAGCAGGAAAATTCCATTTCAGTGTTAAAAAGGTGAGCAGATTCACAACATTTACCAGAATGGTTCATAAAGGTGATGTGTGTTACTTACTTGAGTAGTTTTGTGTTACACATAATCAGCTCCCTCCAGTTAACAAAGATCACTCCCATCTCAGCTTCTGTTAGACGCCCTGACTCAGACATGGGCTTGTGGAAGACCTGAGTGGCAGACGGATGCAAATGGAAAGACAAATGAAACACTATAAACAATAGCAGGGGTTTTAATTCCGGAGAAATGTTCATGCTTTCTGAATGTGCCTGTACATTTGTGTGCGTGTGTACCTCTAGAACCAGCTCCAGGTCTTCCACGTAGGTCTCCTCAGTCTGGATGAGCTCATGGATGTAACCCTGTCTCTTCCTCTCCTGAGGGGTCATGGTGTCCAGCGTCATCAGGTCAGCACACCCTACACACATGCCAACATGCGGGCATGCATGCATTCATGCATGCACAAACGCAGAAACACACAAGCATGTGCAACACGCACAAACACTTTCTTGTCAATCACGAGCACAGTGTCTGAGAAAACGCGGCAAGCATGCTTGTCGAAAACACTTCACAAACCAGCATCTTAAAATCTCCCTTTATTATAAGTTCTATGATAGTTTATTTACATTTAATGCACAGACAAGAGTGAGGCACGTTGTAGTTGCAGTACATGTACTCGGGGAACATATCAGGCAATGCTAATGCTAAGAACAGTGCTACCAAGGACGCTGAATTAAAGACAAACAAAGCACCTTTCATGGTGGAGCGCTCACTCCAAATGATTGCATAGGTGTGAATGAGCAGAGTAGCTAATGCTTGAGCGAAAGAGTGGAAGACTCAGTCAGTGGTTCAAGTCTTTGAGGTACAAACTTGCCAGAAGTTGGGACATGAATGTCAGCAGTGGGTTGTCATTATCTCTGAATCTACTCCTAACAGTGGGTATTCTAATATCTGGGTGTTTTTCTTTCTTTGCTGGTGATATCACAGTTCTGTACAGGATGAATCTCAACCTCATTTGG